TAATAAACGTTACATTGATCATGCCGAAATCAATAACTTATCGAATCGGCAGAATAATCACTCGGTTAATTTTTCACTAATGATAAAAAATTTTATATGCTTTTTATATATAAATTTTTTTGAAAAAACCGTGTTGTCGGGTCACTTTTAAACACTTTATGTTATGAAAACCGATTTATTAAGTTTGCATGGCCTAATATAGATACGGCTATAATTTATTTTAAATAGAAATGCTCATAAAGGAAACTTTTATATGTGCTTATATAAATAACTATAAAGACATCAAATTAATAAAATTCATAAAAGATCTCTTATGACAATACTTTTATGAAGCTTATCTAAGAGAATTTGAAATTTTTCAAGATAGACTAGGAAGTTATTAATATTTATATTAGACAGAGTACAAAATATTATGCTAGAGAATTGCAAAACACAAATACCTTAAATAATTATTACCCAAAACATAACAGATAAGTAATAAGAAATAATTGCAGTTTATAACCACTTTATTAAATAATGTAAAGCATATTACACGAATCGTTCGATATTCACGTATAATGTCAATAAAATCAACATCATGCAAACCCCACAGAAAAAAGATCACATGTTTTTGGAGCAAAAATTCTCTGATACATACAACTCAATAAAGATGAAGATTTTAAATCATAGTATCGAGCAAAGATTATATATATATATTTATTTTTTATGTCTACAAAATATTGAAAATCAGGTTTAGCTTATGTTTGGAAATTATTATATAAAAAACTTAGTTCTTAGGTTTTTAATTTGGAACCTAAAAGTTTTAGAACCTAAACCAAACCTCACCATCCCAAATTGGACGTTTCTTAGAATCTAAGTTTAGCAAAGAACCATGCATTCTTTCCAGCCTTATATCTATCTTGTAATGCCTTCTTTACCGCTTTCTTAGCTGTAACACGTTGAGAAGGTTCTTTAAAACACTCTTGGTTAACGATCTGTTTGATATCTTCCAATTCGAAGGTGTAACGGGTAGGCATTAGGTGTTTATAATTTATGACCTTAATGAAAGGCTTGATTCGAGATCTTTTAACGACACGTTTTTGGCTCATTCTTTTGGTAACTTTTAGTGGATATCTTTCGATCCCAGCAACGATGGCATGAGCATATTGGCGTTCTTTAGTACCGTCGTCAACATTTTTCACGATCACCACTTTTTTACCAGCGAACGGACCCGAAAGAATTATAGCTACTTTTCCAGGCTTCAAGAATTTAACCATCTTTATTATTATTTTTAAGATGGATGGTAAAAGAGAAGGGTATTTTATCGAAATTCAGATGTAGATGTACCCCAAATTTTTATCACCTACAAAAATGATTGGTTAACAGAAAACGAGCTAAAGCAAAAAAAAAATTGATATAGTCACATTTGATACCTTCTTATAGTCACACTGTTTCTTACATACATATTTTTAGTCAGGGAATACGTATGCGCATACATTTATTTTTTGTTTGTCATTATCGATGAAAGTCCT